CTCCGTGCGCCCCGAGTTTCTGTGGGTGTGTGTGTGGGCAGGGGGCTGGGAAGCTTGAGGTCTTACGAGGTCCCTGTCTCCACGACTGGCGTGAACCCCCCTTCTCCCCAGGCCTGGCCAGAGCAGGACTCACCCCCTCGCTCGCTGCCAGGTTTGCAGGCTCCTGGCCTCACGCTCCAGCCCAGCGGACCCGGCCCACAGGCCGGCTCCCCAGAAAGGGCCCTGGGTGCTCCCAGTTGGGCCGCCTGCCGCCAGGCTCTGTGCATCCCCTGTCGCCGCCGCTGCGTTGCTACCTGCTTGGCCCAACTACGAAAATAGTTTCTGGGTCCCCTGACATGAAGGCTTTTTATAGTTCAGCACCGCAGGCCTCATTTAAATCTATTAGCTCATATAAACGGCAGCGCGTGTAAACTTCGGGGGGTTTGGTGTGCCTCAGTGGCCCCCGTGATCTGGCTTTGCATGCAGCTCTGCCGTGCGCCCGTGACCTGGGGCCCGTCCCCGCGCCTCTGGGAGCCTCGTTCCCATGTCAGTCCGTGGAGACCAGCGTTCCGCCCTCCTGGGCTGCGTTGAGACCAGTTCAAGCAAAATGCTCAGAGCGGGGCCTGGCCGGCAGCGGGGACCCGCCCGGGGGAGGGGCTGTTCTACTTCTCCGGTTTCGGAGGGTCCTGCCCCGCACGCCGGAGCTGGCCCCGTGAGGCTGGCGATGGGCACCCTCCCTCGTGCCCTCCATAGTGAGGCTGAAGAGCGGGGTTCAGTGAGGCCATCAGGGAGGAGAGGAGGGGCCCTCCATGCCAGGTCTGCGGGCACAGAGGTGTCCGCTGGGACTCAGGGACAGCTGGGCGGCACGGGCCGAGCCTGCCCCTCCTCTCGGGTCAGCTCCGCCCTGGCAGGGGGCCCACTGAGCCGCAGGCCTTCATCTGCCGAGGCCCGAGGCGGGAAACGCCGGCCGGCGGCCCTGACACTGTGGGAGTCTGTGGTTTGCAGTCTGTCTCACACGCCCAACCGGGTCCGCCCGCCGCCCTCCACGGGGCTGGGCGCAGCGGAGGAAGATGGGTCTCAGCGGAAGTGACAGGATCGGGCGTGCGGGTCACCTTCCCACCCAGGACACCCAGGACAGAGGGCGGTCGAGCCAGGCCGAGGCCACATGTCTCTGCCTCGACGAAAGGACGCTTGATTCCTGGGAGCAGGACCCCCGAAACAGCTCCTGGTATCCAAACCCACGCCAGTGCCCCTACCATCAAAAGGCCAACCCAGACTGAACTCTCACCTGACCTGGGACTGTCAGAGCCCCGAGCCCACTTCCTGAGTGTCTGCCCATGACCTGCAGTTTTAGGGCCGTGGAAGCCTGTGGACAGGCCCTCCACCTGACGGCGCTTACACGCTTGCCGACAACTGTCCGCACACCGGCCTGCCGCCTGCACGAGGCTCTTCTGGTCAAACAGGCCTGGGAGCTCCGGGAAGTGAGGCTGGACCTGCCCAGCCCGGACGGCGAGCGCTCAGGGTGTGGGCATGCATGTGCGTATGCGTGTGCAGGCATGTGCATGTGTGCAGGCGTGTGCATGTGTGCGTGTGTGCTTGCCTGCCTGCATGCTTAGGAGAAGCTGGTGAAGTCTCCTCCACGTCTTTCCCCACCTGCAGCCCTGGCATCTACTGTTTCCCATTCCACATCTCTGCCCGTTTCCGGGTCATCGCGGCACAGAGACATCCGGTCAGAGCGTTCTGAGTCCGGCTCCTCTCCCTGGGCACCTGCAGCTCTTGCCGCCGACGTGCTGCTTGCTCCTGGGCAGCCGCCGGGCGGAGGCCTGGATCTCGCCTCTCCGTCCTCCACCCGCGAGGAGACAGGCAGACGCGTGAGGAGGGCTGTCATTCCCGGCCAGGCTGCGGGCAGCTCGCTGGCAGGTCTCCTGGGGGAGCAGCCGGAGCAGGGCCGCCAGGTGGCGTGTCACGTGCATGTTTCCCTGCAGAGGAAACTCACAAACTGCACCGCCACGTGGCTGGGCCCCTTGCGCTCCCGCCAGCAAAGTCTGGGCGTCCCGACGCCTCGTTCACACCCCGGCCCCACTCCATGTTGTCGCTGTTTGTTTGGTTTTCGTCGCGGCGGCTTAACATCATGGTTTTCACCGGCGCGTCCCTAAGGACGAAGGACGTGGCATCCACCCTCGCAGGTGAAGGGCGGAAGCGGTGGTTCTCAACCTTCCTCATGCCGCGACCCTTTAATACAGTTCATGTTGTGGTGACCCCCAATTTCATTGTGACAAATTGAACATAATGAAAGCATAGTGACTCATCACAAAAACACTATGTAATTATAGATGTGTTTTCCGATGGTCTTAGGCGACCCCTGTGAAAGGGTCGTTCGACCGCCAAAGGGGTCGCGACCCACAGGTTGAGAACCGCTGGGCTGAAGAGTTTTGCTCACTCTGTGTGGATCCCCTCCCCGCCACCAGTCATGAGCTTTGAGAGTTTTGTTTTATATGTTCTGGATACAAATATGTGACTTGCAAATATTTTCGCCCAAGTCTGTGACTTCTCATCACATCACAGTGTCCTTTCAAAAATGAAATTGCTTAACTGTTGAGGCACGGTGTAAGTCAGACAATACCTCTTCCCTGCGGGGCTTCCCCCTGCAAAGGGATAAGCCCCAAAGCCTTCGCTGCCCTGCAGACCTGGCCATGACCTGGGCTACCTGCCAGCCCCTTCCTCCAGCCCCCATTCTCTTGTGCTTCAGCCACACGTTGCTTTCTGTCCCAGCATCACCCCTCGCTCCCTCTGACCACAGGGCCTTTGCACAACTCCTTTCCACACAATCTCTCCTTCTTGGCACCCAGGCCTCGGTTCAAATGTTACCTCCTCAGAGAGGCTCTGCCTGACCACCTTACCAAGGAGCACCCCACCTTACCCCACACTGGGGATCACACCTGCAAACTGGGCATGTGCCCTGACTGGGAATCGAACTAGGGACCTCCTGGTGCATGGGTCGACACTCAACCACTGAGCCACGCCGGCCGGCAAATCCCACCGTATTGCCTCTACGTCCACAGCAGTATTTCCAGTCGGACAGGGAGAACAGCTGCCGTCCCTGCGTCTTCTCAGGCCTCTCGGCCCCGAGTCACAAACAGTAGCTTCCCGGAATCCCCAAGGACCTCAGTGACACACGCCAGGCGAGCCAGTCGAGGCCCGGGGGGGCCAAGCCGTGCTCCGGCTGCACACCTAACCCCACGTCAGCGAGGGAAGCCACCCTGCCTGCTGGCCCCGGCTTCAGCGAGATGGCGACGAACACTCCCACGGCGGGAAAACCCTCCTCTCAAAAACCCAGAAAATTGCTGTTTGAACCACTTAACGAAAGCCATTATTTGCATAGATTTGGCGTTGCGACAACACTTCCCCATTTAAACGGTCTGTAATTAAAATCAGTAATTGCAGAAAATAGGGACTCGTTAAGGCTATAATTTAGCGAGGTTCTCGGCACTTGAGGATCTGCCAGAAAGGCTGACGGGGTGACCCAGGAACCCGCGGCTCCCGGGGACGTCCTGGGGCGTGGGGCCCTCGGCAGCCCGGGAGGCGTGGCTGAAGCCAGATGGGATGGAGGCCGCAGCTCCGCGGTGCCCACGAAGCTCAAAAAAGGCGGACTGGGGGCCCTAGCCGGTGTGGCTCAGTGGATAGAGCGCCGGCCCATGGACTGAAGGATTCCGGGCTCGATTCCGGTCAAGGGCACGGACCTCAGTTGCAGGCTCGATCCCAGCCCTGCTCAGGGAGCGTACCGGAGGCAACCAATGGATGTGTCTCTCTCACATCGGTGTTTCTCTTTCTCTGTCTCTCCCCCTCCCTTCCACTCTCTCTAAAAAAAAAATCAATGGAAAAATATCCATCATTGGATGAGGATTAGCAATAAATAAAAATAAATAGATAAATAAAATAAAAATAAAGAAAAAAAATAAAGAAAAAAGCGGACTGGGAAGTGTGTCTGGGACAGACCCAGGAGCCGCTGGGAGGGCTGCCGCCCACTCCTGGCTTCCGACAAGGCGAATCCCAGGCTTAAGGAAATCACGGGTTAGCGCTCCTGGGTAGCGGCCTGCGTCTGGCTGTGGAAAGCTCATGTGTCTGGGGACCCGGGGCCTGTTTTGGCAGCCGGGCCAGGCAGGTGAGGCCGGTGGGAGGTGGGTGAGGCCCCGCACATGCAGGAG